TTATATTGATTTATCCACAGATGATGTCACTGTTGAGATTTTTTTATGCAGTATAACTCTTCTAGTTATTTTCGATAAAAAAAATATCAAGATACAAACGTTAAAAAATCCAATAATTTCTGGGATTTTATAATTTATTCTACTATATTCTAACATAAAATATCTCGTAAACTATGCATTTTTTGATAACTGCATCTTAATACTTTTATGCATAATTGTACATATGCAAAAACAATTATATTTTTTGATATTACCATTGTCCAAAAAACAACTGCATTATCACTATTCATAAAAACATATAACATCATTATCAATTTTTTAAAAAGACAATTATAATGATGCCACAAAGCATTACAAATAAGTGTATTATCTTCCAATTTCGATAAAGGAAAAATCCATTGTGGAAAGTATTTAGTCTAATTTAATAAAGTTTGAATAATTTAATCTCATTATTATCCATATGCAACTTTATACTTTGCAAATGCTCGATTGTAAATAAGACAGATATATGATACATGATGTATATACATCAACAAAATAGATTAACCTGTTTTTTCGTTTCATTCTTCTGAGCAACAGAGATTAGAGTGCCAAAATCCATTTTGTTGATCAGGACGAAAACTAAGAGACACGAAAAACTGCAATTTTCTACGCAGTTATTTGCGCATTTACATTAACAGATCTCTTCAATGTCAGATTCAATCAAGATAGATTAATCATGCTGCAGGCACGTCCAGGCACATCGGCGAAGTTTTAACGTTCTGAAATATTTAATGGAAAAGAGAAGAGCGAGTTCTTTGAATAACAAATGACGCGATATCAAAAATTCTCCACGTAGATATTGGATCAGATCGTCTAGATTCTTCTTTTTCCAGATGGATTTGCGATCCAAATCATTGGAGACATCAAACGCTTCGAAAGTCTGTCTATGAAGTTATCGAATCACATTCCGGAGAAACATTTCGAAAGTCTCTCCATTAAAATACTCGTTCATATCGCCGATCTACTCCAATCGAATTTGACCACGTATACCGAAATAGATCGACACTAATTGACGGGAGTGGTTCGGTTGAGAACATCGAGAACCATCTACTCATATGAAGAACCCTCGAGAGAGGGGGAATCCACCATAGACGTAGAGAATATCTGAATGGAACTGCATTCCGATTTACGCTCATAAGTCCCGATCTACAATAGGTGATTTAAGCCTTAGAAGAAATTGACCAATCATCGTCGAAGAATAGGAGAATAATCGACTATGATTGGTCAATTTCTTATGGCTTAAGACTTAAATCACCTATTGTAAACCAAGACTAAAGCTATCTCCCCATGCAGTGTAACCAAAGACGTCAATCAATCAAATCGTTTAAAGTCTTGTGTCCATGATGCTAAAAATCGGTCCGAGAACTCGGATGGAAAGAGGATTGAGTAATTGCGTTTGAATAATTCAATCAATCGATTGGTTAACATTGACTAAACATTGATTTCCTTACTGCTTAAGTTTTTTGTGTGCCCTTAAAATAAAATCTATCTAGATAAAACTGAGATATTATGATACCAACGATTCTCGCTCTGTCTTATATCCATTTTTAAAGTAGATTGACTTTAATCTCGGTTTAATCTACTCTTTATTGTTTTTTAATTTTTAGAATTAAAGAAATAGAAAATAAATTACCGATGAGATGCGATTAAAGACTCAATCTTAGTAAATTTTCGTATTATTAAAAATCGTTATTTAAATATATTGATATAATTCATCTAAAATACGTTTCGTATGAAATATTATGCATACATATACATACATATTGGATCAAGCAATAAACAAAAAGTAAACAGAAACTACGCATAGGCGTATACAATGAGGAGACTTGGAGACTCAATCTTTCTTCCCGAAATTTAAAACAAAAATTAAAGTTATGATTTACAAAATATTTTTCTCCTTCAAAATCAGAAGAAATATTCTAAGTTCTATATCCAAAAGAGCAATTCATTAATGTAAAAATTGCTATTTATGTGTTAACAAAATTGATAAATCCCCCCCCTCTGAAAAAAGTCCTAGATACGTTCATGAAGCTACGTATCTATGGAAACTCTCGTTATCCTCATTCTCACGAAATTATCATCACGCAGTGACAAATATTGACAAATACGCCTGATTTCCGCAGATTTGTATTACCATCGAGCATTAACGATCTGCAAAACGGAAACAGTTTATACATATAATAAAACGAGATGTCGGAAGAGGATTCCCGGAAGGACGAGCGCGAGCTCGAAGAGCGGGAAACAAGAAGAGATGACGATGGAATACATGAAGAGATTTATGATTCAAACAAATATATATCCGAGGCAAAACGTGTGCCAAATGGAACCGTACCTATGAATATTTTACAGTTTCAGTATCCTTTTTCGTAGATAATTCTCAGAACAATTCTCAGATTCCTCTCTTTTTTTTGTTCTCAAATTATATAATACAAATGTCATGTAAAATATATTTCTCGGAGTAAAAAGATTCGCAAGACTGAAAAGAATGCATTATTCATTTAATTAATTTATATAGAAATATGCACGGAGAATAAAATGATTTGCATCATTCGTCTTTTATGCGTTTGTGATTATTTTTGAAGATTTTGAGTATTTTATTTTTTTACAATAAAAATTACGATAATCTTTACTTTCGAATCCTATTTTTATTCTTTGTTAATTTCCATTTCTGGAATTTTTACCCATTATCTAATTGCATTATTTCTTACGATTACTTCCTTTTTTCATTGCTCTTCAATTTTTTGAGGATATTAATACTTTTGATTATAATAAAAGTTTTCTAATTAAAAACATATTCCTTAAATAAGTTAATTAGTCACTCGTTTTCATACGATTGTCGAAGATACTTTAATCTTTGTGTGGCGGAACCAAATGTTGTCATCTTTATTTCTGGTAACATATTACATTTTTTAGATACTGTGACAAACAAGTTATGGTTTAGAAGAGGATACACGGGTGGTGGAATCGGACATGTAACGGTAGTCTTAATATATCTGTAATAACACATAATCATACTTTATATATATATAAAACATCTTGACAAAGCAAGCTTTGAGAATACAAAACAGAGATCTTTTGATTAATTTTGTATAGATTTTGAGGTGAAAATTATTTTGATATAAAATATTAAATATTAAATATTATGTTTCATTATTTTTTTCTATTTTTTTTCTTTTTTGTTTTAGAAAAATCCAATGTTTAATCATATAGCTGTTGGCGAAAATGGAAATAAACCTCCAATAATAATCTACAAATGGTCTTCAATGGATATTGTAACAATTTTACACAATGGCACATTGAAATGCTATTGTTATTTAGCATATAGGTATGCTAAACGCAATCTCACAAAAGATTAAGGTGCAAGCTCACATCTGTTGCATTCTGATATATAGTTTACATGTTTTACACATTTCTACAGCACAGATGGTTCATTGCTGGTTTCACAAGGAGGAGATCCAGATTATACCATCACAATTTGGAACTGGCAGAAGTCTGAAATAATATTAAAATGTAAATCTTACAATCGGGACGTTTATAATGTAACAATATCTCCATCATTACCTGGATATTTAGCGACGAGTGGTTCAGAACATATAAAATTCTGGAAAATCTCTGAAACATTCACTGGTCTTAAATTAAAAGGCGATATTGGTCGATTTGGACAAACGGAAATCTCTGACATTGTCGGCGTGTATATCATGCCAGATGGAAAGGCATATTATTAAAATATTTTTTTTTTAATTTTTCTATTAGTTTAGATTTATTTGACTCATTTAGATTTATATTGCTTTTAGGTCATATCAGGCTGTGAATGGGGAAATATTTTACTGTGGGAAGAAGGTCTGATTACTCTTGAGATATGTAGAAAAAACCGACAGCCATGTCACGCTAAAGCGATCACACAATTTGAGTATATGAATGGGGAACTCATATCAGTTGGTAAAATTTTTTTTTATATTATTATTTATGCAGTGACAAATAATAGAAAATTTAATAAGAAAAGTCCTTAAAGAAAATATTATACAATTTCGAAAATTCTTTTTTATATATTATTACATAATAAATAAATAAAATAATTAAAAAATTAGTTCATTAAAAATATAGCGAAAATTGAGTTTTCAAATCAGTTTTTCAATTCAATTCTTTACCAAGATAATAATGACTAAATTAAAAAGAAATTGGATATATATGCAGAGAAATTTGAAACATACAAACAAATTCTCTAAATCATGAATTTTTTTTATGAATGGATTTTAGGTATGGATGGATGGATTCGAATTTGGTTTTACGAAACTATAGATCAAGCATATTCGCACAATAGAGAACGTTTTCTAGAGATTCAACCTATATATGAATATCACATCAGTGAGGATAATGGAGATAGCTCAATGCTAATGTGTATATGTAAGCAAGAATCAGATAATCCGAAAAGTACATTTTGGTATGCTCAAGTAAGTAATAAAGTTTATTTTGTGATGTTAAACATTTGATAACATTTATTTCAATATTGACTAATTGAATATGGAATAAATTTAAAAAAGAATAGAATTTACTGATATCTGGAAATAATATTTTTTTTTCTTTTTAGGATGGAAACGGTGGAATCTGGTTAATAGATTTACATACCTCAAAACCAGATCCACCACGAAAAATATTTACGTGTCATGCAGGAGCTATAGCTGATATGGCTAATGCAACATGGGGTCCCTTTATAGCTACATTAAGTAAAGTTGGACAGCTGCATATTTATAATTACATAGAAAAAAGGTTAATTCTAGTGCATAAGTTTAACGACATTGGCACTCAAGTTGTCTGGTTCCCATGTCAGGTGAATTGATGTTATAAATGTTCTTCATTTATTTTCAATTATTTTATCACTTAGTTTTTCTCTATAATCATAATTCCATAGAAAAATTTTTTTCTATTTGTAAGATTGAAGCAACAGGATCAACACTTGCTTGTGCTTTCGGAAGCGGTGTTATTCGTGTAATTGTTGTAGCGGTCTTAATGGCTGATGCTGCTAATGATATAAAAGGAGATTATGTTAGATTGATTCAAGTCATAAAACCACACAAAATGGCAATAACGGCAATGTCTTTAAATACATCGTGCAGGTAGAAGAAACGTTGTTTTAGTAAATAGAATTAAAATTTGAAAATAATGCGTTTTGCTACAAATATAATAACAATAATTTTTATATAAGAATATTTCAGCTTACTGGTGACTGGTAGCGAAGATTCAACCATATTTACTTTCACCGTTATGACAACTGAAAGTTTTCCTATCATTACACCAATTGGTTTCATTAAAGTACCTTCAGGAGTCACGTGTCTCACATGGAAACCACAACGTGTAAATAATACACTCGCAATTTTTATCACATATAGTCGTTCCTAATTAAAGCTTTACAGGATACAACATTATTAATTGGATGCTCGCAAGGTGATTGCGTAGAAGTTACATTACCGAGTACACCCCAACCGTACACTATTGCCTCGTATGAACTCATTCAGTGCCGACCGAAAGCATTTAAATTTCATTCTGTAAAATCTGCTATTCGAAAAAAATTAATATACCTAAAGCAGGAGAAAGAAAGAAAAGAAAAGCTTGCGAAAAGGCACAAAGAAGCGACACAATTATTAGTTGAAAGACCTGGAATGGAAATTAACGAAGAAGCGTTTCTCGGTAATTATCATTTTATATGTGACAGTATTATTTGACAAATTTTATTGTTTATTTTAAAATTTAATCATTTAAATGTTAGACAAAACATATAATCAAATAGAATTTATCACTTAATTTCTTCTTTTGATCTGATTTGTTTATTCTTTTTTTTTATAATCTTCTTACACTACTCTTGTTCACAGTACATTTTTTCATGTTTTTCAAAAGAATATTAAATGTTAAAGCAAATAGATCAATATATTTTGTATGTTTTCATTTTTGAAATTTAATTTAATTTAAATTGAATAACATATATTTCATATTTTCTTGATTTTATTTTTGTTTCTTTGGTTTAATTATTTATTTATTTTTTTACAGCATTTTATAATTATTTATTTTAATTTATGTCAGATATCTCTTAATATTATTTTCAACTTTTACACATCTCTTAAACAAATTTATATTCATTGTTATTTAAAATCCTTGACGTTCATTTATGGCTCTTTAATTTATATATGCATAAAATTAATGAAATGAAAATAAAAAAATTATATATTATAAAAATTATAGATATAAAAGAAAAAGAATCCTTGCCGGAAATATACATACCAAAAATACCAAACAAGGTATTGATAGCACAATATATTAGTCAGGACATTATCTGGTTATCAATGGGAGGATTTGACGCTGGATATATGTATGAATATCCAAGTCCGGAAGTTGTTGAAATTATTGGAAAGGAACCTGTTAAAAGTACTATAATATACGAGGCGGATGATATAGAAATACGAAGTTATCTCTTCTAGTAAGTGCAAAATCGTATTGTGCAAAAAATAATTTCGTATTTATATAACGAGAGTTTATCGTCTATTTATTTTATGTTATTGTCAGTAAAGGAAGAAAGTATTTGTTTCTCGGAATGGAGCACGGACAAATACGGATTTGCAAATGGAAACCCGAAGACTATACAGATCTTTCCGATTACTGGATACTTCCAATGCACGATAATTACAATGGTTACATTCCAAAAATGATTCTCAGCCATGATCAAAAGATGTTATTTACATGTGGATACGACGGGAATTTATTTTCTTACGAGATAAACGATGATATGCCACTCGAAAACATTGAATTTGAAACAATTAAAGGAACTTTATCCTTGGTATGTTATTAACTATACTTCAAAGCGTTGTTAATTTTTGAGCTTATTGACCATTGTTTATTTATTTTCTTGAGACTATAAGGATTAATATTAAATAATAATTAATAATAATAATAATTAATAAATTCTGTGATGAAATAATAGCCGTATGCTAGCGTCGAAGATATTGAAGAAATCGATCACGCAAGTCTGGAAGAGATGATTCAACAAGCTGAACATGACAGAATAGCAATTGCAGCGAAGCAGAGTAGGCAACAAACATTGGAGACATTGCTCAAATTAAGCGAAGAGTATAAGAAGATCATGGAAAGGTCTAGATGTTATATATATAAATAATTGTTAAGCAATATTAAATAAAAAATCGTATTAATCTACATTTTCACATATTAGAAATAATGCTTTACCAGAATCTCATCAAATAACTGACAAAGAATTGGAACTAGATCCTAGAATCACAGATGATCTAAATAAGGAATTGGACGCAGAAATGGCTATAGTAAGAGAGAAATTGGCGTTTCAAATGGAGAAGAGCGAGCTTGGATTGCAAAAACTTCTGAAACATTTTGTTCAACCTATTACATGCTTACCATTCGTCGTTTGTAAAATATCGTAAGTAAAAATTTCATTGAAAATGCAGACACAAATGATCATCTTGTAAAAATATTTTATATACATTTATACATAAAAATATTTATTAAATAAAAAGATTCTATAATTATATAAAATTATATGTCCTAGTTAATGTGAGGTAAGTTAATATATAAACAACTATCTATTGATAATAAAGCCTGTATTTGCTCTCATAATTTTATGATATAATTTATATACATTTATTCCATGTATATATAAGTATACATAGAAAATTTTATATCGCACATGTATTTGAATAGAAAACCAGATAATGTAGTATATTCCCTGCGTCAACACATCTTGGATCCTAACATCACTTTGCCGGATATCACTACCACAAAAAGCATACATAAATCTGACAAACAAGTCATTGGAAATGGGTAATTCACATGAATTTGAATAAATATTTATTACGAGCAATTTATACATCTAAAACATTTGTTTGCTACTATTATATTAGTGTGACGGACGATAAAACGCAAAATAATGAAAAAGAACAACGAGAAAATGATAAAGTGGAAGAAGAAATTGAGGTGATAAAAATGAAAGAGCAGCCAATCGCGGATTTTTTAAAAGATATTAATTACGAAGCTATGGACAGCAGTTTAGGAATTCAGTTAAATCAATTGTTACGTAAATATACCTTGAGAAAAACAAGATTGGAACAACGAGAGAAAGAAGTTGGTATCATTTTTAAATACTAGTATTAACTGTTTTTACTCTATTGTAATTTAATCAAATTTGATTTATTTAGTGGAAAGTTATATATAATCAAAAACCAGATATATCTGTTACTCATGCGCACGATATGCTCGCTATAGAGGAAGCAAAAAGGACTATCGGTGATTACAAATTAAAGACATCTCCAACTTTTGATTTGCTATCAAAAGATCGAGATACACTGTTTTCAAAATATAAAGAACTATTAAATTGCCGAAAAAAGGTTTGCATATTGACAAATTAAAAAAAAATTATTTATTTTTATAGTTGTGTAATTTTTTATTACTAGAAGTTTTATTATTTACAAAAAGTTCAATATCTGCAGGTTTATTATTTGCAAGAAGCTTTTAACACGAGACTGAAGGCTGTGAGAACAGAAAAAGAACATCTGCACGTGGAAGTTTTACATTTAATAAAATCCCTCAAAAAGATTCATGCTGAAATACCATTGAAAAGTGTGAAACCTTTTCCAATTATTCCTACGTTAAATATTAATGTAGAATTTCCCGAGAGAAAAATAATGGTGCGTATTATTATGTCTCATTAGCAAAAATATTTCAACATGTAGAAGAACATTCTTTTACTTTTGTATATAGATCGAGAAATATACAAAGAATGCAGAAAGACAAAAAGAAACAACGGTTTTATCAGAGCAAACGCATATCTGTTCAGACGAAGAATACGAAGTGTTACTATTAGATGAAAAATTTTTAGAAAATACAATAACTTCTAATGGACCATTAGTGTCATTTCTTACCGTGGAAAAAGAAATAAAAATCCAATCCGCTGTTCAAAATAATATGAAATTACTTCATTTAAGCGACGACACCGACAGTCCGTGGGAACGAGAAATGAAAACCTCTCGTATGTTACGCAAAATATACGAACAAGATTGCGTATTGAGACGCATACAAACCAACTACGAAAATTTGGACAAGAAATTAGAAAAGTTAGAGCGCGATAGATTAGACGTTGTCGCCGAAAATATCAATCTCAATTTATTTTTATTGACGCTCCGTCAAGAATACATTATTTTGAAAGAATACGAGACAATGGAAAATGTATTGCAAGATCAAGTTGGCCAGAGATCAGAAGAGATCGCAGTAGTGAAGCATAAAGTTAGTTAATAAATTTTATCAACTTTTTTATTTTAATAATTATTACGTGTAAAAAAATCATAACTCATATAATAATTGACGTTTTCAGATATCGATGGCTACCGACAAAGTTGATATAAAAATGAAAGAAATTACGAAATTACGCAATCAGATTAAAGATATTTCTTCCGAATACATGCGTAGAATAAACGATAACAGATTCCGTAATTTTCTATGCAGAATAATGAGAAAGAAATATAAAGAGACGAAGGAAGATGATGGTAAAATAAGAGAAATATATCCAACAGATTAAATTTGAAAAAATATTTATCGCTCTCATTGAAACGTATTAATGTCACTTATTATTGTTTTAGAAACCACCACGACAACAACCGAGACGGATTCAGATGAAACGGAAACTATCGATAGCAAAGAATCGGATTTGCTTTATCTCGATGAAAACGTATGTCCGCCAGGATGTGATAAAACATTATATGACTTAGCATTTTCGACGAGAGAAAAACGATATGCATGCGAACATCAGATCAAAGATGCACAACGGGTTGTAGAGAGCCTCCAGAAAGAAATTCAAATTCAGATGAAGAAACTAAAACTCACAGAGAGTAACTTGAAGAAAGACGAGGATGATTTAAAAATATTTATGGTATTACATATTTAATGCGCTAATCCATTAGAATTTTTTTTTCTTTAATCGTATTCTGTTCAACAGTTTAAGAAACAACAGAAATTAAATGATGTGGATGTCACGGTAATAATGAAATTGCATCAATTACAATATTTCGAGGAGTCTCATGTTCCATCTAAAGTGCATGACTGCGTAGTATTCGATAAAATAAAATTATCTAAATTATATGCGAGAATACAAGAATTGCACGAGGAAATACTCGAGTTACATAAAAAACACAAGTAAGAATATCTAAAATATAGGAAATCTTTAAATAATCGATATTAAAAATATCCTTGTGAATTTTATAATATATGCGCATTACAGACACGCTCGAAAGCATCTGCAAAAAATTAAACTTGATTGCGATCGTATGCGTGTTAATAATAAAGCTTTGAAAAATGAGATAAAACTGAAGATAATGAATAAATTCGGTCAGGATATATCCTTAAATAAATTGTATGAAACGATACTCCGTAGGATAGTATATGATATTAAAGCCAATTTGGATGAGACAACAATATATTTCACTAAACAAATCAAACGTAATTATTATTCTATAATATTGTAATTTATTTTGATTCCTTAAATTTTTATATTCTGCACATTTTTATTGCAGGTGTCAAAGAAAGTTATGCAGAAGAGTTGGTTATATTCAATAAGCTGATTCGAGAACACACACAAAAGTTAAATTTTCTAACACTTTTAGTAGAGGAACAATCAAAGCTTCAAAAATTGTCAAAGCGACATATCATGTCAGAGGTAAGCCACATTTGTATCTATTAGATACTTAATCTTTCACATTTATTGATATCATCGTCGTTGCATAGGAGGAAATACTGCAATTGGAAGAGAAATATAAAAGTGATATAATGAAATTGGAGAGGATTCTTGAAAATCAAATGCAACAGAAATATCTATTTCAGAATGATATAAAAAATCTCAAATTAAAAACAAAATCACAATGTCCGATCCAGAAAGAAACAATATCCTGTAATAAGGATGAATAAAATAACAAAATATCTGTATATTTTGGTATTATTGGCCATTAGTATGTTCAATTATTTTGAAAAGATAAGTTTATATAAAATACATTAAATATATTAAATTATATATTAAATATTTACAGGAACACTAATTTTATTATGGACAAAGATGAATAAGTTTTAACATTGATAATTTGAAAAACTTTACACATGAAAGAATTTTTGAAAAGATAAATAGTGATTAATTATATATATCCTGAATAGAGTTAACAAAATGCAATTGATTTCTGCGATTATTTCATAACTTCATAATGTAATTACGATAATTACGAAAGAAATCATATAAAATAATGAATGTATTAATTAAATAGATTTATTCGTTAAACCACCGTTCTTTCTATATTCGTTGCATTTTATTTATCGCTTATATATAACAATTATATGATAGCTGTACAAATACATAAGTTTTATTATATATACACATATAGCGATTTAATAATAAATAATAACATACTTGCTTAATAAAAAGGTATCGTAATAAGTCTATATTTCTCGTGTATGAATTATCCCTTAATATTCTTTATATTATATGTGCAGTTCCCTTAAAAGATCTATATATTATGTCATCATTAAGCAAATGAAAGTAGCATAAGATAAAAGTGCTTCTTTAGCGAATCTTTTAAAACAGCTAATTTACAGAAGTGTGACATTCATCTTCTGCGTTAACAATCTTCTGTTCTATAAACTCTTTAAATATGACTAACAAGAATCTTCGGAATGTTAAAATACATTAAAAGGCAGCTGCACGTGAAATTTCAACTCATGGACTAGAAACACTAGTGATGGCCATAAATAGCAATTAAATGTTTTAACATTGCTCACTCGGATCTTGATATGAACAAAAATGCAGATGTTTAATAGAAAATTTAATTAGCGGAGCTATAAGTGATTTTGATGTAATATAAGTTTTTGAATCCTAGTTAAGATCCGACTATAATCAAATGATTATAATGATAATTATATTAGCACAATATTAGTATTAGTGACAGTAATCGGAGTAATAGTAGTACACTAGTAGTAATAGTAGCAGCAGCAGCAGTAGTAATAGCAATGGTATCAATACACTAATTAACAATAATAGTAGCAATAGGAAATAACAATTGGATAATAATGTTGTTAGTAGTAGTAGTAATAGAGCAATAGCATATATTCTCTTTGCATATGTCTAAATTAATCTCTTTAATCTGTTTTTTTAGAAATTCACGAAGAAGTAGTAATAATTTCTAGAATCATCTACTCTTGTTAAAATTATTATGATTTATAAGATATTCATGAGAATTTGTCAAATGAATCCTTGGAAAATAGAATAGAAAATATAAAGGAAGTACATGAAGGAATTTGGAAAACTGGATCAGCTCCGCTAACTTGAAAAAAACTTAAAGCGAAATGTTTTGAGATTTGCGAAATCCCAGCACACATATATAACGATTGCATCACAAGTATGAACTTTCGGAATTTCAACAAATTTTGAAGAGAGAATATTCAATCGCACATTATACTATTTTACGTAATAAATTAAACGCGTTGTCTGGTTGAAAAGTCTAAAGAATTGTGAAGCTACAGATCATTTAATTATTTACATCGTATATCCGATTTAATTAAATTGAATTAGTAATGATCCACAATTCCTAAGCTGTTAGGCCTATAAAACTTTGTTCTTTTTAAAGAAAAAATGTAACCCGTTATAGTTCTATCTGAAAATGTAACCCGTTATAGTTCTATCAATTGTACAAATTTATAATTACAAACCGAATTCATCATTTTATTCTATACCGAACGTATTTGTTTCTTCTACAGCCAACAGCAGCTTTTCGTATAAAATCTCGGGCGTGGGATAAGGCGGAAGATCCAAACGATTAAAGCATGTATGAGCTCTGAAAGAACAACGATAATATAAAAGAAATATTGCAGATTCATACAAAAAGAAATAGAAGAATATATTGCGAATTAGAAGATTAAGTACCTCGGCAAACTGTTTGGTCTTCCCCATTTTTCAATGCAGAATTTTCTTGGTCCTGTGGATCCACGCAGAGCCGCAAATCCCTCATATGGAATACTCGAAGTACCGGTGACAAATTGCAATAATCTTAGACGTTGTTCGTTAGTGAATCGGCTTATACTGCTCCAGAACCATTCTACTACCGGATGCGCGTCGTGATAGCCGCTTCTGTACTCAGTGTGCGTTCGCCAATCGTTCAGATCGATTTCAGCTGCACCAGCAATAACCAATTCCAATTCCCGGGCATCGAAAACGGACACTAAACGCGGATCTACCACCTCATAGAAGCCACGAACCAACGACTCCGTTTGTTCTGCGACGCCACGTTCGAGACGCCAACGTACCACTCTCTCGAGATATTCTTTTTTATTTTTTCAGTAACCGCGATATTTCTCCCGCCTGGCTTTAATTCGCGTTCGGCGACTCGCCCCAAGAGTTCCTCCGTTACTGAAAAAGTTAATTCTAACGGTTCGATACTTATATCTTTTTCCTTGATCCACATTAAACTCTGATGAAATTCCTGATCTAAACTTTCCAGATCGCTTAAGCTTGCCGGTATCCTCAAAAGCGCCTTGTAAAATGGTCTTGTGAAAAATGCATCGAGCAAATACTGGTGGACCAATGCTAATCCCAGAACTCTGCCGGAAAATCTGAACCAATCATGATAATTGTCTACAAAAGCTGACATCGGCGAGATTTGTACCGTGTAAGTATCATTAGCTGAATATTCAAACAATCCGTAATAAGGATTGAACAATTCGCGTGATAAATGAAAGAAAAATTCTCGGGACGGTCCACCGTAATCCAATCCTTCTTCATGATCGAAGATGACTACTAGTTTACCTTTCTGCAGATCCTTTTTTGACGCGGCCATTATACGTGTAAAAGCATCTTCGAGTAAATGTTCTCTCCTGATGTGTAATCTGTACAGATAACATATGTACGCGCGCGCACATAAAAGTTTTTCAATAAATGCAACATATTTACAAATATATTGTTATGTTTAAATATGTATGCTGAGACGTACTTTAATTTACCCGGCCCTTGTCCGTAACCTTTGCTTTCCAGTTTTCGATAAAAAGTACGAAGTTTCGCTTCAAAATCTCTCCTATACGGTGCTGGAGCTCTGGCAGAAGCTCTTGTCAATCCAGGTGACGCATGTGGGCTGCCGAGTGGAGATCTGCCCATACTACCAGGTACATAGGACATTATTTCTTGCTCGAACAAACTGTGAAGGATATAATATGGTGTTATTCTATATAAATTTATATATATATATGCATATATACATGCGTAAAATTCTGATAAAAAGTATATGTATATTTGCTTTTTACCTTAACAGTAACGCTAAAGGGACATCGTGGCCCCATCTTTGTAATGCTGCAGTTCCTTCGACCCTTATAGTATTAACTTTCTCTCGAAGTGCAATATTCTGTCCCAACGCAGAATGCCTTTCCTTTAGAATATCCATTATATTAGGCTGACGTAGGAAAGCGACTACTTTGTCGTTGTAGGCCACAGGTATGTCGGGAGTAGCAGTTACAGACGCCTGCTGTGGCCTAGGCGGTGGAACGGGGGCTTCGTCCAGCAGCGTTCGTATGTGAGCAGCTTCCGTAGGTAATCGTGGATCAACAAATGATGTCGCTTTTCTAGCATGGCATATAAAGAATCTCTGAAATTGCAACGTTGATATTCCTCAATTACGCACTGTCTTTTTTCTTCTTGAATAATCTTATGAAAAATTCGATCAAACACTTACTTTGCCTGTCCTATCGAGCTTTGATTCGTACCCTCTTGGAAGTTCCTTGCTCGGATCAGCAAAGACATTAATTAAGGCAACTAAATCTCTGTTGTGCTCGTATCTTGGAAATACTATCGGATCCCTCCTAACTCTATTGATCATATGTTTTAAGCTTGGATTACGATTATATACCTCCATGGCGTCCGCGTTTGTGTGCAACACGGTAAAGAAATCGGGTCGCGTTAGGAATAACACCGGTGGTATCGTGGTAATATCGAACGGTTCAGATTCGCCCCTGTCAGTACGCTCACTTTGCCGCTCGGCACCGTCGAAGGAATTGCCATTTGAACTGTTAGCTTCGCGATCTATGTTGTCAGGGCGCGAGATAGTTCGTCGCACACTTTGATAACGTCTATCTAATTGCTGTCTTCGTAAATCGCAACCGGTATTACGTGTTGTCAGACTCGGTCTCTGCCACGTTGTAGTGCGGTTGATGTGATCTATATAAAACACTCGACCGTGGCTGTCTATTCTCGCTTCCCATGCTGAAATATATACAACGATCGATTAGCACCGAGGAGAAAGATACAGAAGAGACGGAAACAGAAGCCGCGTCTAACAGATATATCGATTTGTACTTACACGGAGGCAAAGGTTCTTCCGAAGATAAAGATACGTTTGACGTTTGGCATATTGGCAATGGGCATAAAGGTTTGGGTCGATGCGTGGGTGTGGGTGGGCACTCTAGCTGGTTAGCCATGCAATTTGTCAATTCTGGTCTTTCTCGTTGTCTGTGCGATCTTGGGGAACTTAATAACGCGATACTTTTTGTAACCGCTGTCCGTAACTGAAACATTATACATGTAGTTTAAACGCAAGCTATATCATTGAATATGATAAATTGAATTTGACAATCTCAACCTTAAGGTTTGAGGCTTCGTCAACGTCTACAATCTCGAATCCAAAACAATCCTCAGGATGCAATGGTGTAGGATGCCTCTGATGTCGTTTAGGTAACTCTGGCGCGCCGCTTGGTAAAGCGTTACTTCTATGTAACGGTCGATGCGCTGTCCTTGGAGGAAGCGGTGGTGGTATTGGATAGAGAGTTTCGTATAAAGATTTGGGAGACGAGCGACCTCCTGTGCTACGCCACAACTGATAATATTCCGCTCCTTCTTTTGTTACAACGCCATTGGGTCTGCATTGCCTCTGAAATAAAACAAAACTCATAAATCAATTGTAAGTAGAGATTGAAGAATTATGTAAAAGAAGAAACAAGAAAAAAAAATAAAAGATTTATTTAAAAAATGCGAAGATATTGAAAAAAAAAATTGGAAGAAAAGCCATTTTTCGGAAGAAATCATATATATAGAATTCCTCCTATTTTATATATAGGATTTATAAATATTCATTCACTTTGACGATTTATTAGCATGACTTTTGTTCATTAGGATGATGTTCTTTGAAACAATCATTACAGATAAAACAAACATTTATTTTCCACAGAACAAAACATTCTTAAAGTCACAACAATACAATAATACAAAAATTTAACATTATTTTTATAAGGATCTCATGTTATGTTAAATAATTCTTATATATGTTAAAATATGATTAAAAAAATCATTTTTTTAAGAGAGAGAGAAAAAGAAATAAAGTAAATGGTTTAATTACCTTTTTGACATCGCTATTACTTGTACTTGCATGTTGTGATTCTATATCTGAATTACTTTCCTCGCTACTATTCGATGAACGAGGCTCCAAATCCAGGCAACGAACTCCTTCCAATTGATTTTGTCTGATAAATGATGAGTCCAAAAGCGCCACTGCATTTTCTTCGACTTCAGATTGTTGAACATTGGCAGTTTTAGGCATTTTTTCTAAAATTGGCAGTTTAAACGGCTTACTTGTACTTGCGGAATCATCGTAACATGAAGTACGTCTCATATCTTGCGACATCTCTTCAGAAATATGTTCAGACGTGTTGGGTAATTCATTTTCGTCAATTACATTTTCGAGTGAATTTTTATTATTATTGTCTAATAGACTTAAAGACACTTTCGAATTGTTAATTGCGTCACTGTGATTCGACGAGGTTGCACTGTGCAAATTTGACGATTCTTTGGACGTATCTAAAGACAGAGATGTTAATCCATCTGTCGACAAGCTACTATCATCTACATTGCAATCTTTATCGTCATCGCTAGACGTTTTTAATAATGTATTTGCAAAACTGATATGGCCTGTAGCAGAATCATTGTCTTTTAAAGACTCTTTGCAAGTGCGCGAGTGTATCGTCTCTTCGATTGATTTATGCCTAGTATCCGAGGTGTCAATATTATTATTACACAAATTTCCCGCACTTGATTCATGCTTGTCTCCTTCTACGTTAACAACTACATTGCGATTCTTTTCAGGATCATAAGCTTTCCCATCCACAATATTACTAGGACAGGCTGCTAATTCTAAAGTATTATGATGAATTTCAGAGATATTTTCTGCTAACAAGCATTTCTTTCTGGACAGGTTTCTATGAGCAAGAAAAATTGATTTTTTATTCGAATTTTGTATCGTATTGTTGCATGTAGTACCTGCATCATCGTCACTTTCTTCAGTTTGTTTAACCACTACCGATGTATCTAGAATATTCAAAAATATATCTTTATTGTCATATCAATGTAAATTCTAGAAAAATATTTTTTTGCAATATTCTCCATATCTTGCAAAAGAATGTGAAGAATATTAAGGATATTTATATTACTACTAATATTACCTGTTGTTTTATCCAAGGGACATAGATTCTCTGTTTCAAGCAAGTCATTTGTTGTTGCGGAGCTATCACTCGTTGTCGATCCTGCGTCTTCAGTCGAGTTTAAGAATTTGGTTCTGATCTCTGACATGGATATCCTATCGCTATTTGCATTTGTTACATGAGTGTCTACATGTTTTGTGGATATACTTGATTCTTGATTTGTTGAATTTAAAGTCATCAATGTTATAGATTGCTCGATAGATTTGTCAGTGTCTTCCTCTTCCTTAGAAATACTGCCCATGGCATCTGCTTCGGATGGCATCTTCCTTTCAAAACATATTTGCAATTGACAGTTCCAAGGAGACCCTGCGACCGAGGAAGCAAATGATTGTAGGGCTGCAGAATTACTACATACATGGAAATCAGTGCGTTAATACGTGGCAACGATCGTGTGCTCTTTATAGCGTAATACTTTAAAAATAAAAGAAAAAACCGAGATGAGAACGATGACGAGTGGGAAAAATAAAACAGAAAAAGGAAATATAGGTTAAAGTTCGACCCAAATGAAATGTGAACCTTATAAATTCGAGATCGCGGGAATTAATAGATAAAACAGTGGTACCTGAACGTAAACGCCGTCGGCGTTGAATTTATATACGTGGGAATTGGCGGCGTCTATCAACACATCTCGTCTCGTGCGTACGCGAGGTAAAGGCTGCTGAGAAGAGGCACTACGCGAAGGTCGCCGCTCGCTCGCCACGATATCGCATGCTTAACACGTAACGTAACGAGGCACTCCGCGCGGCCGTTCCTCCTTCTTCCTTCTTGCCCATGTAATCTCCGCCGTTTTTATTTATGCGTGACTTTACTCTCATTAATTATACCCACGTACATACGTATGTACATACACGCGTGAATGGGATAACTGACAGCGAACGTAGCAGACTATACAGGCTAGTGACTTTGCTGTTTCCCACACGTTCTGACGTATCGAGTGCGATCCGTAATCAAATGGGCATCACGCGCGTAATTGTCATTCACGACAGACAATTCAGTGAGTAATACATTGTACACAGAATGATTCGGAATAATCATTTGTCCTTAACAATTTGAAAATACGCGTTCGTTAATGGAGTCTGAAATGACCTTTTTCCCTTTCCAAACTTTAATCAAAAGTCTACCTTTCAAATTATAAAAACAATAAATTGCTTATCACAGAAACGGTGAGATCACGTGGTTACAACAATAGCGTACCACTAGATTTGGAAAATGGGAAAAATTTTACTCCTTTTAACTCTTTTTTTTAAATAATAATCTTCCTTTTTATAATTTTAATTACTAAAAATTTTGATTAGTATTTTTTTGTAAAATGTGTAATTTTTTTAAATTCAGACGGAAAACAAAATGTCTTATATTGAAATGTTTCATTGTTTTAATAGTTGCTATACATCCATTTTGTAACTGAAAAAGCTTGATTCTTTCTTTTGGAATTATTTTATATCAAAAAATTTGATCTATATATTT